GCTGCCACACGAAAATACCACAGGGCAAGGGGCTTAAAACAGCAGAAATGCATTGCCCCACAGAGCTGGAGCTCAGAAATAAAAATCAGCATGTCTGTAGGGTTGATTCTTTCTGGAGGCTCTGGAATGGTATCTATCCCCTGCCTCTCCTCCAACTTTTGGTTGGTTCTAGAAATCCTTGGAATTTCTTGGCGTTTAGATGCATAATGTCTATGCTGCTTCTGCTTTCCTCTGTGTCCCTCTGTGTTTCTCCTCTTTCATAAGGACACACCACTCAGATGGGCTTAGGGCCCACTGGCCTCCGCATGACCTAGGGTTGACTGGTATCTTTAGAGACCCTCTTCTCAAACAAGGCCACATTCACAAGAACCTGGGATTAGGACCTCACCTGATTGTCCCTAGCACTGAGCTGCTTCAGTGCTCACTAAATGCTTGTTGAGTGGATTGATGAAATTGGGAAGACAGGGGTGGCAGTATTGAATTTGACCCTTGTTTCTTTCTGGGAAGGTGGCTTTTTTTTCTCTTGTCCTTTTGAAGAAGGGGGAATCGTTTCATAGCTAAAAACAGAGCTGGATTACTCTAGTCTGAACTCAGGTCATGTAGAACTGTAATCATTGAACAAACTTTTGATAGCTGCTACACCACCAGCATGTCCGCATCCAATGTTGAGGTCGTAAATCCTGTTGTTGATATGAACTCTTTAACAGGATTGTGCGTCTATCCCTAGTTTAACTTGGATCATTGATCAATTAGTTGGGCCAATAAGTGACTAGGCACTTTGACAGGTTACTCTAGGTATCATATCATTCAGAGGCTGTTTTATTCTCTGAGGTCACTACTGTTAGAAGGTGGGTGCTACTAACTGAGTTTATGAGTTCTTGAATAACACATTTGAGTGGGTGGAGGTCACAGAGCTAGTGAATTCTCTCTTGTATGTGTTTAAACTGCCTTAAAACTGTTTAAGATAGTCAAAGGTTAGTTTAATCTATGGCCTTGGAGCTGGAGTGGTGCTTGAGTACCGTCTAAAGAAGAATGATACCTAACCTCGTTAGACATATGAGCAACATTTTTAATCATCATAATAGCTAGCATGTATTGAGTGCTTACTCTGTGTCAGGTAGTGTGCTAAGTGCCTTACATACATGTATGCTCAAAATATTTAATATTCAAAGCAATCTTGGACACAGCTAAGTTCATAAGGGTTTGATAAGCTCCTGAGGCTGCTCAGCCAATAAGCGGCAGAGCCAGGACTGAACCCAGGAGGTTGGTTTCAAGGTCGAAGGTCTTCCCGACTGCACCACTGTGCATGTTTGAGTTGGCCCTTACGTCAATCTGTCTAATATGGTAATGATTTCATTCAAACAGCCAGATAGTATAGAGAGCTTCCTTCTCCAATTCCTGAGGACAAAGGCTCATGCGACCTTGATAATTCAATAGAGTTAAGAGTATTTGTTTATTGCTGTTGTTAGGTGCAGTTCCAGTTCATAGCAACCCGATATTCAAAAGAACAAAACACTACCCGGTCCTGTGCCATCTTCACAGATATTCCTATGTTTGAGCCCATCTCTATCTCACCCACGACCCTCCTCTTTTTTGCTGCCCCTCCACTTTACCAAGCACTGTATGAGATGCAGTCAATTACTTACTATGGCTCTTTTGTCTGTCTCCATTTTGTGATGTATTTTAAATTCTAGCCTCTACATCCATTTTGGAAGGAGTTTATCTGTTATGCTAATAGGACCGGATTAAGGTGGAATGTATTTTGAGTCGCACCTTCTTACAGGCTATGGCTCACATCACCATTCTGGGTAGTATGGTCCACAGAAGGCAAAACCATACCTCCATCAAAGCCGTCTCTGTGACTTCCCCTTGCCAACTGGGCTGGAGCAGAAGGCTGGTGTTGAGTCCCCATGACAAACACAAATCAGGTATCTGTTACCATCCTCAAAAGATTGTTGGCCCGGGTATGGAGAAGCCATCTTGATGTGAGCCCTGGTGTGCTTTTGGGCCTGGCTAAGCAAGTGAGACTTGCTTTCACTTTTGGATGTTTCTCTCTCTTGCTTTGGGTCCTGCATTTGACTTGCCTCTGCCTGACTTCTAATTCTCGGGACTCAAGTTGTGGCCTCCCAGCTGACCTGATTCATCAGCTTCTACAGTCCTGTGGATGAGAAGTATCCCTGAGCTGATGTCTGAACTTCAGATTTGGGACCTACCAGCACCCACTCCCACATAAGCCACTTCCTTAGCAGCTTGTGAGTTCTTTGAGACATTGGGACAAATTGCAGAGTCCCTAAGGGGAGGTGTGGTGTTTGATAGGATAATGGAGAATCATAGCATTTTGGAAAAGCCAGATATTTGAGATATCGTGAATCTCCACCCATTGGGACTAATCTTACATTCATCTTGCTATAAGAAATTGTTTGTGCAATATTAGCCATATGACATCTTTTCCATAGATGATTATTTATTTTGGAACTATGAGTAAGAACCTTTCTGGGAATGGAAAACAGGAAACTGAACGATGACAGTAAAAGTGAAAGAAGACAGTAGCATCTCAATCTCTTCAAAAGAGAGTAGAAAGAGCTGTCAGGGGACATGGACATGGAAGGTTTCCCACCTGGAGGACTGACTTGAGTTTCTGCTTCTAGGGACTAGAGGCCTGGCTAGGCCTGTTTGATGACGTGGTGCTCACACAAGTGAATCCATGTGAGGCCAGTACTGTGAAGTCTTAGTTCTCAGCCTTACACCACCTACTGAATCTGTCTCTAAGTTCAGTATGCCCCTTGCTCAACAAGCTATTTCAACCCTACAGACTCGAGACAGTGGGTATTCTAAACCTGGAAGTGCACCAGAGTTTTTCCTTCTCTTTTCTTGCGCTCAACCTTTAAAAAAAAATAATTTCCCAAGAGGAAGAGGCAGCAAGAAAAGAGAATTCATCCACTTTTTGCTGCGTATTTGGATACGTTACCTGGCATAGAGAGAGACCGAAATGAAAATTAAAAACCGTATCTACTACCATTCGTAGTTCGCCCCCACACCATGATCAGAGTGATCTTACAAAAATATATCAAATATGATATTATCAGGTTCCTCCTTAAAGTCCTACAGGACCTCCAATGGTTTTAGAATAAAGAGGAAACTCCCTGCTCTGGACAATGAGTTGGAACGGACTCACTGACAAAGAGGCATGACCTACAAGGGTCTGTTCAATCTATCCCTAGCTTCCTGTCCAGCCTTACTTCCCCTGACT